GCCGTATAACGAAGTGTTTGGGGTATGGTCCTTGTTGAGACCTACAATGACCTACGACTGAATGTGTTCATGGCTTATCGGAGAGCCCTGACAACAGCTTCATCCAATGACATGGGTGGTCCCCAGCCTTTCTACATCATTCATAACTTTTGAAACCAAATTTCCGTTGCCAATTTGTTAGCTCGACGTGAACTTATTCTGGCACTCTTTTCATGGAGATCCCTTCAGAAGGCTTCAGAAGGGACACTAAGGTGGGACTGGGGTGGGTGCCAGGAGGGTCCAAATACCTTCTGAGGAGGTACGACTGGAGCCCTAGGATGGGGATGGGTCATGACCCAGTTCACCTAACCAGTCCTGACATTAGGTAGGTCAACGGTCCGTATCGGTTCGTTCTCCTGACCCACAGCCATCTAAATCCACATCCGCAGAAATCTCCCACCAGACGCTCCAATGAGCCCTTGGTCCCTCAACACCTAAGCTTTGGATTTGAGACCCCAGACCCCTCCATAAGAGGATCCATGAGCATTTGGGCAGTTGGCTCCCGTGTTTTTGGGGTCTTGCTCTCCGAGCCAACCCTTCAAACCTGGTGCGTTGGCAATTTCGAGAACACGTGAGGTTTATGGAGGAACGTCGGGGTGCCTCAGCATGGCTGGTGTTCTTTGGATGTTTCCTCATGAAGAACTCCGACAGGACCCCCTGCATGGTTCTTTGGGAGAAGGTTTCTGAGACATTCCAGATTCATGGATCATCAAACATATAGAAAACGTTGTTGGCATCGTCTTGGAGCATGTTCCAGATTCTTTTGCCCCATTCACCACAGAAATGGTGAATGTGAATTCTCCAATGTGCCGAAGCACTGGCGTTTGAATTTGAAAGGGTGGCATGTCCTCGGTGGTTGATTGGCAGTAGGGTTCGGCCAAAGTGCCTCAAACAACTAAATAAAGAAGTGAAAGTCTGGATGTGGGTCATGACATCAGGATACCGATCGGTTGACCTACCGACGGGAGGAGGTCGGACTGGGGCCTTTTTCAGATGACCCCATGGTGGCGTCCTCAACATGCGTGGAGTCTTTGGTTTGGCAGGGAGCCTAACTCCTACCTCCAAGAGAGGTTAAGTGACCGTAAATAGGACTTCACAGGGGTACCTATGGGATAGTCTCTAGGGTCCTTCAACCTCGCCATCGACTCGTCACTTGCTGGGGGCGGAGCTGCTAGGCCAGAGTGATTGGCGCAGGAGGTGTGCAATCTTCGTCGTTGCCCGTGGGAGAACGGGTTCATTGGGGTATGTCAGGTGTGGATTGGGGTATGTCAGGGTACGCGGGGTCGGAGTCGAATCTATTCCCAAATGGTAAAATGATTTGACATTGAGTGATGGGAACATGACAAGAAGGATGTCTCAAACATGCGATGTGCTCAGTTTTTGTTGTCATTGATACGACATAAGTCATGATTGACCTGTTCAGGTGTTGCTGCAGCATGTTGCAGCTACTCCACATCAAAGATGATGTATCCACACGTTTGAATCTGGATGTGATAGGGGCACTCCAGGGCCCTCTTCCAGTAAAAAGGCAACCTCCATGTGAGTATGATGTATCGATATAATATTGGTATCAACATTCTTCAACATAGACATACATAGACTACAGTACCTCCCCAAGTATCCGCTTTTGGCATTGGTGTGGTACATCACACAGGCGAAACCAATTTGAGAAGGACAACTTGTTGAAATCACCCACCACAAACCTCTTCGCGCGCTGTCCATGTCCGGGTTTCACGGGGAGGTCCAAAGACACGGCACTTGCTATGAGTTATGCTTTGTATGGAGAAGATGGTAGCTGTACAACAGTACCTTTTGGTCCTTCACCCACATATATATATATATATATATTATACCAGCACCTTCCTGGCCAGGTTGTTTGGAGACCCTAACAGGTGGTTTCTGGGCACCTGTTGTCACCAGGAAGCACCTGTTGGAGGGTGCTGGTATATATAATCATCTGGACAACTGGATAAGGACTCACAGACTCCGGGGCACAGAGACTGCTTTCCTTCTCCCAGTTTGCCTCGTCAGATGCAGCGCTGAAGGCATGCCCTGCGTCGCGTGGCGTTGCACGCGCGGTTCGCGGAACTCGCGAAACACGCACGTGAGTGTCACGCGAGTGAGTGTCTCACGCGGTTCGGGTGGCAGGCGGCGCCTGGCGGTTGACCTTGGGCGGACTCGTCGTTGCGGTCTCGCGGTCTGGCGGAAGAACGCTTCGTTTGGACGAAGTCCTCGGAGTGGTCGGCTTTGGGGTCGGGTGGTGACCGAGGCGCAGACGGCGGAGCCGGATCGGATCGGTCGAGCTCCGGTGTGGCGGATTTCCACGGAGGTTCTACTTCACGCCCATGCATGTACCAAGGAGTACACCTCCCGTATTTGCGAAAGGAAAATCTGGTTTTAAGTGGCGATGGTGGCAAGGCCTGAGGTACAGACTGTTTGAGGGAGGAGAGGGCGAGGCTGTTGATGGTATCCCCCCAAAACATGGCTAGTTGTGGGATTGCTGGACCAGCGTTTCAAAAAGACAGCTTCCTGGCAAACCGCAGTGGTTGATGGGCTTGACTCCGACTGGTCTTGGCCAGGTCGGCAACAACGGGGCTGGGAAGACCTCGAGCCCCATGCGGCATCATTTGATGTGGATGACCTTCAGATTCGAGATGGGCACTTGAGCACGCTTGAGCAGTTTTTCGGGGAGGGAGCAGTCAATCTATTTCAATGTGCAATCAATTCTGAGACACTTTATGTACTCACCTAGTGACTCACGGTGCTTTTATAGGGGTCAATGCCATACATGGAGTGTCTGAGATCGTTTTCAGTTCATTATATGTTTGCAAAATCGATGGCCACCATGGGCCTCCATAGAGATCATACAGGTTCTCTCGCCACAGAATGTTAGTCCGGCCATTTTCACACTAAGAGTGGTGTTTGTGACACGGACTGGGACTCTTCAAAGCCTATGGATCCACTGCCACCCTCTCAGAAGGCAATTGGACCCTCCAAGCCTTGGACCCTCCAAGTCTACATAAATAGTCTCCAATCACCTTACCTCAGGTTCGGTATGTGGATCCATAGGGAAAGCCTTTCTACCTTTCATTCACCAGGACCTTCAGTCACTTCGTGACCGGAGTCTCGACAGAACCTTAGGATCTGGGGATCTGACGTCGGTCGCCTCATCCCGTGACCTCCAATGATCTGGACAGGTCACTGACGTCGGTGGTGGGGACAAGGGGATCTCACCAAGTGGTCGCCACTCATTTCTGCTCAGCCACCCAAAGCCAGAGCAGTAGAGTCGCGTGCTGGTACACCTGGTTTGGGCTGATCAGGTGATGCTCTTTCTCCTGGTCAATCCCCTTTGGGGGAATATGTTTTTGGATTTACTGTGCCAGTTTCTGTGTCATGCACGAAAACGCCTGGTGCGACACTCGGAAATGGGGGCCTGCCATCCGCTGTGTTGGAACAGAACCGGAGATGCCAATGATGCATCGAATGCCCAAGGCACAGGTTCGGAAACAGCCTGCGGGTGGGGTGGGAACAAGTGGTTCGGCTTGCCGGCTTTGTCTACTTGGAGTCAGATGTTCAAGTATCTCGGTTCAAGTAGTGGTGGTCTTCTACCGTTTGTTTTTTGCATCGGGTCATGAGTGTTTGGGTCCTAGATGCTGCAGGGTAGAGCTTGACAAGGTCTTGGATGTGGAAGCTTAGGGGTTGTAGAGGGGAATCGCCCGACATTTACAGTAGGATCTGAATGAATAACCCACTACACTACACATGAAGAGGTTTTTCGATCCAAATGGGAAGGGGTTCTTAATCAACATCCTACAGTAAGCTCACTTTTTTCTGGAGGCAAATATGGTGCATTTGTCTTACTTGATCGATTTCAATACTTCAATTACAAGATGGATGGCAAGTGGAAGACTTTCCTTTACTTCATGTCACTGCTTGCAGATTCGCCATTTGAGATCCTGACATGATGTAGCAGTCCTTTTTCGACCCCCGCTTGTTGAGTGATTGAAAGGGAGACATTCACCTTTCGCATCCTCGGAACCCGAGGGCATCCCTGACCTTCCACCGACACATCTTCACGATAGGACATGGAGGACGTTTTTTCAAGCTATGTGAAGTCACCACACCTATGAGTGTGTAGCTCCAATAGGGAGACATCTCAGGCGTTCCGACCCCGTGGAAGAAGGGAAATAGACTCTTAGACCATAGGGCCAGGGTATCTCCCTAATACGGTACCCAGTTACAGAGACCCATATATAATATCATCCCACGGTCTGCTGAACAATGGCTGCAGCGTGAAACCGGAGAGACTGACTCGGCCACGTCGCGTTCCTGTCGCCCCACTCGCTGCGACTCGCAGCGGACTGGGCTCCAAACCAGTGAAGAGATGAAGGGGGGGAGGGCATCTTCCCCAACACGACTGGATCTTCTCAACCACCTCGAAGAAGGGGAGCATCAGTCAGGGTCGACTGGAGAAGCCAGAAATGGCGACAAAGATCAAGAAAGCCGTGAGGGTGGATCCACTGCAAGAGGAAACTGGGCAGAGCAGAGATAGTTTGAATATGTTTAAGTTAGAGTGGGTTGAGAGCAGATGGCAAAATGTCGCAAGTTTGGTGGTTTATGAACCCCCATCAAAAAGACATCTTGAAGTGCCAGTGCCATCTACTCTGAAAGATATGTCCGATTCAATTGGCATGCTGGTTCAAGCTGTAGAGCTTCGGACGGGCTGTAGAGCGGGCTGTGACATGGTTTGGTCAGATGAGTTTCAGGGAGTTAAGATGAGTTAAGTCAAATTGAAAGTTCGTTTACTGAGTTATACCGAGTTCCAATGCGCTGCGAGATGTTTGGTTGAGGAGTGAAGGGCACGGTTTTGCACGACACAAAGGAGAACAGAAAGGGAGATGAAATGACTCAAAAAGCGACTCAGAATTCACAGCTGCAGATTTCGAACAGAGTTTATTTGACAATCGCATCACAACTGGAGTAGCTAGGTTAGTCTGTGCTGGCCTCACGATTTGCCGGTGCTCGCCTCCAAGGTCTCCTGGCACAAAAAGATTTTTTCTTGCCAAGGGAGTGTTGCAGCCAGTACTTGTAAAGCTAATTAAGGGTGAGACACCTCAATTTTGGAGGTTCACTTTTCAAGACTTGAGTTCATTCAGGTGTATTCCTTCCTCCATGTTCCTCCTTGCTGTCTTACTTCCCAAACCTTTGATGTGCCTTCAGCTGTTCCTTGCCAGTCAAGCCTGGCCCCAAAAAACCGTCGCACGTTCCGGACCACACCAGGCGGTCGGCATGAAGCGCCAAGAGAGCAAAGACAGCGGCAAGAGCGTGGGAGGGCCCAGGCTATCCAGACTCTTGATTTCATCAACCCCCCAGAAGACCGTAGCTTCACCGCTCCAGGCTGAGGTTGAACCACAATCAAGAGTCTACATGAAGTATAGGGTCAGGCCTGACACCCCCTCCCCCCCACGCAGTTTTGGTCTTCTGCTCCTGTCCGGCTTGCTGTGAATCGGTTTTGCGCGGATCAGTGGCCTTGGCCGGAACCAAGCCCCAGACATGGACCGTCATGGACCCTAACCAACCCCCAGATATGGACCCTGGGCTTCCAACCACCATTGATTGATATGCATATACGTCCTTTTCTTAAAACATACATAGGGATCCACGGACACCTCCTCAGGTTTAGACTGGACCCTCCTGGTGCCTATTAACTAAGTGTGTCCAATATCCTTCGATGGGAGGGTATGTGGACCCATAGGGATAAATCTAGCATCATATTGTATACCCATTTAACGAACGATTATTGTAGTACTAAGGGTTTTACACGACAAAATCAGGTCAGGCTTCTTACCCTGGTCTTGGAAGGCTAGGGTGGAGTGTCTGGGACCCACATAGTGGGTGCTCACAGAAGTTGACAGATGTTGTGATCGGTTCCGTGGTTCCGACAGAGGCATTTTTTGTTTGCTTTTGGGCCCACGACATATAGAGAATCTGACCTTGTTTTGTTTGCTCGGGCATAGTATGGATATGTGTCAGTGTGCATGTATGTGTATCCCCTGGAAAAGCATAGTCACAGTCATAGAGTCACCGTACTGCCATCCTTTGCCAGTACGGTGACCACTGGCCCAGCACTTAGGCAGCTGAGAAAATGGCTTTGGAGGCAGCGTTCGCGGAGGCCGGGCGACTCTTGCATTGCCAGTACTCATACATCGTCTCATTCAAAAATAACAAACACATTCCATCATGAGAGGGAATTCTTCTCGCATGAGCAGCGGCCAAAAATTCCCAAGTTAGCTGGCCCAAGTAATTCGAAGAAATTCTCGATAGCTTTTGAGCCATGATGGACATTCCCATTTCATTTACCCTAGGGCTCCAACCATATCCTCAGAAGGTGGTTAGACCCCCAAAACCCACCCCAATCACCCCCGAAAAAACACAAAACAAAAGAAACGACGAGGACCGACGAGGACGGTAGAACCTGAGTGATCTCTATATATGTTGGACCACCAAGTACCCAAACGCAATGTTCTTTTCCCATCAGAACAGGGGTCAAATCGGTTCCAGGAAGACCATCAAAGAAGCGTTACAAGAACAAACCAACCCCACAAACGGCCCACCTTCACACGTTCTCCAAGTCCTGTCAAAACCTCCAAACCTTTCCGAGTCCGGGACAAAGGACCAACCCGCAGCATCACGAGGGCGTCACATCGTGGCCACGTTTTGTTCAAACAAATCCCAGTTGGGTACCCCTGCTTAGTACTGCTCCATCTATGCCACATTGAGGTGGTGCCAGGGGGGTCAACTGATCGGCATATATTCCAGTCCCATTAGTCGTGTCTGGGGTTGGGTACCCCTGCTTAGACCGGGTGATCATTTTTTCAGGTCACAACCAAACGCCTCTCTTGGGGTTTCTTGCCGTGGACGTGCGCCAGGTCCTCATGGGCCAAGCGGACGCAGCTCCTTTGCCCGCGCCGTGTGGTGCTCCGCCGCCCGAGAGGAGGCGGGGGACAGGGGAGTGGAATGGGACTTGGAATACACAGCAGGGGTCGTGAGTCGTGAGTTGTTTGGGTTGGCACCATAGTTATAGTATGTAGTATAAGTACTTATATTATAGTTATTGATTTTAACATGGATCCATGACAGGTCGGTTGAACATAAATCCAGCGAGATGTTGAAGACAGCTTGGTCGCTTTTGAAGATTAGCACCCTACTATAGCATTCCATATAACCGCGTGCCTGGACACACCGATTTTCAGACACTTCACTGCCGACGGCAGGCCCCTACTCCGTTCAACACACCCAATTGGACGTCCCCTCCTGAGGGTTGCTAAACCTTTTCAAACTGTCCTTCAACATTGTCCATGTTTCATCATGCCATATGCCCCGGAAGATTCACATCCATGGAATTTCCAAAGCACGTGGGGTTAGTCTTCGGAACAGACTCTCTACCAGGTCTGGTTGACCAAATCAGGTTCCATGTGGGTCTCCTCCTCCATCCAGCCAGGGGTCGAGTCTTTAGCTTCACGGGCACCAGCGGCGCGCTGCCGAGCGGCACTGGGAGTCATGGCTTCACTCCGCAGTCATCACAGGTGCCGAGGGTTTGTGGCGCGGATGGTCTAATCTCAGCAGGCCTCGGTGGTACCTGGACCCGACTTGAAGTACCCTAGAGCACTAGAGAAGAGCCCTATCTTAGGCCTCTATCAAAAAAGGAACAGGTACGTTCGACTCGCAGGCGGTTCGACCGGAGATCCGGATCCAACATGGTGAGGTTCGACCCTTCTGAAGCATCACCGACCATGTGAAGACGAACGAAGGCGGTGAGGTGAGGTGAGGTGAGGTGAGGTGGTGGAAAAGACGAACGAAGGCAACTCACCCTCCATGACTCATCCCAAGACTGAGGCAAGACTAGACCCGAACTGGGAGATGTCTTAGCCATGTTGCAATCCGTTCTTGGCCTGTTGGAATGACCGATGATGACCAATGACCTGGAAGTCTCATTTGTCCCTTCCTTCTCCTGCTTCTGAGCCAACTGTTTGGGAGTGTGCGTGGGAGGGAGGAAGCGTTTCTTTTTTGTGGGAAAAACTGTGTGAACAAAACGATCCCACCAATCAAATGGCTTCACCCAGCTTCTTCCAAACTGCCGAAGTCTTCCGTTCCGGCGCAGGGGGACGACGAGGATGTCTCTCCGGCCTTTGGTCGGACCCGAGTTGGGAGCTCAGTTCGGCACGGAGCAGATCTTGCTATGCTGTGAAGACCAGGACGCCCTGGGTCGACCCATATATACACACATGCACTTAGATCCTCCAACTGCGCCTCTGGGTCGATGTCAATGGCACCAGGCGTTTTTGGATTGCATCTGTGGAAGCGAATGTTTTGTTTTAGATCACATGGTGGGAACACTTCCATGCTCAGGATTTTGTGGTGCTACCGAAGCTCATGGACTCAAACTGATACACATGTTTTGAGGTCCGGTGCTTTCTGGTCCAACCCCCCCCCGATCATCTCCTTTCGGTCTCTCTGGGCCACCGGGAACGTGTGAAGGTCATCGCCTTCGAGGGTTGCTGTGGATCAATCTACCCCCTGGGAGTCAAAGACTATAAAAAGAATGGTCTGACTAGGGGACCTGAAAGGGAACTTCCTTTACTTCAGCCGGTCAACATATCGTCGAACTGGACTTCCAGGGTACCTGGCACTTCCGGGGTGCCCTGGAGTAGGAGACCTGTGAAAACGTAGGGTGGGGTAGTGTAACCACACCCAGACAGGAGGGTCCTGGTGGGGAGTGTTTTTTTAAAAGTCACTACCTACCAGCAGTCACGGCTCGACGGGGTGCCGAACGAACGGAGGATAGGGACGAAAAACCGACCCCGTCGAGCGTGACTCCTGGTAGTTCAAATATCTTAGATTATACCAGTAGTCACCACCAGGAGTGACCATCTTAGATACCATCTTGTGACTCCTGGTGTTCCTCCAACAGGTCACCACCTGCGACTTCGAAAAGTCTACAAGGTCGCCTCCAGAACTCGGAGACCTGTTGATCGTTCGGGTGCTGGGCGGTCCCACCGAGGCGGTCCACCGCGGTCCACCGCGTCCCCCCGGAGGACGCGGCGGGAGTCCGGCGTGAAGAGCCGGACTTGGAGCCTGGTAGAGCTGTGAGACCAGGACCCATCAGAGGCGTAAGAGGTGGTGAATGAACCTCCAACGTAAGCAATCCCAGCTCCTGGCCCACCTGGGGTGGGTGCCAGGGGGGTCAGTCACCCACCGAACCTGAACTCTGATGGGCCGTTCGGAGCCCGTTTGCGGGATAGGATGAGAGTGGGCCGCTTTTCGGGTGGCCTTCGGGCGAAAGGGGTGTTCGAACAGTGTGGGGTGGACCTTCCGGTGTCGAATAGGTATCATGAAGAAGGACCCTTTGCCAGGAGTCACAGAGCTCGGGGTGGTTTGGCTCGTCCCATCCAGGGGCCGTGGATGTGGGGTCGTAACCGGCACCCCGTCGAACTTGTGACTGCTGGTGCATAAGTTCAAGTTGAACACACGAATGGTGAGAGGGATGGCCCCCTGCTGAACTGTACAAGTTAGTTGTGTCAGAGGTCCTTAGGAAAAGGACTTGACACACACACACACACATGCTTGGTGTGCGGGAACATTGACTTGCCTCGTGCCAGGCAATGTATCTGGATCTTTGGAAGAGCGCTTGCAACACATCGAGGAATTCCTTGCAAGGCAAATCCCTCAGCTCTGGAATTTCCTTGGAATCTAAGAAGTAGAAGCAGAAGTGCAGCTGATTCGAGCGAAATGATCTCAAACAAACACCTTCGGTCCAGTTTGTCGTACTTCTCTACACTTTCCGTTTCTTTTGACATCAAGTACAGTAGCTTGAAGAAAGAACCATGTATGATGACACTCGGGGCTCAACGGATGCTGCCCAGGTTTCCAGGGGTCTAGTCATTGTCTGAGCCGTGTAGCCTTGCACCTGAGCCGCACCTGATGACCCAGCTGCAAGGTCGCATGAAGCGCAGATGATGAAGCAGCAAGAGCTGGAGGTACTGGACGTGAGACGCTGGCGATTCTTACTCTCTGTATACAGGTCAGTTGGATTGCGTTTTACTGGAGTTCATACAAAACGTAGACGAAAACAAAAAAGGTTTTTAAATGTTGTTTTTTAGCATTTTAGGACCAGGCTCTACTGTTTCAGGGTGTATAGATAAAGACATTGCGACCGCACAGGGGGCCAGGCTAAATCTTCGGACCCAGTTGACCCGGTTGACCCAGTTGACCCAGTTGAGGTCAACTGGGTCAACCGGGTCAACTGGGTCCGGAGATTTAACGTGGCCACCGGGTCAACTGGGTCCACCGCCACCACCACCACCACGACTACTACTACTACTACCACCACTACTACTACTTCTACTACTGAGTCAACTGGGGTCAACTGGGTCAACTGGGGTCAACTGGGGTGAACTGGGTCAACTGGGTCCAGAGATATAGCGCGGCCCGGGTCAACCGGGTCAACTAACCATCAGTTCGACTGGGTCAACTGGGTCCACCACCACTACTATCACCGCTACCACTACTGCTTATGGGTCAACTTGGGTCCACTGGGTTCAAGGTCTGGCAACGACTACTATACTGAGCATGCTCGATCAAAGATGAATCCCTACTAGTGCTAGGTGTAAAATATCCCAGCCTGAACAGTATAAATTAAGCTCAACACCAGGGTTCCCGTGTTGAGCTTGGACAAAAACCTTTTTGTATCAAGTTCATCGGTGTTGTATTTCCATTGGGCACCCCACATGAAGCAGGCGTAGCCACTGCATGGACAGACGGCCGTCAAAAGAATGGCCAACGAATGGCATGCGTGGAGCTAAATTTCAAGTTGTAACGATGATCTGGACCTTTCAGACAGGGGAAGGTTCAATCACCAATTATCCCCTTTCGTGCGAACTGCTGCGGATTTGGAAGTGTTTTTCTTCTGTAAAAATCTTTTCCAGGTCAGAGTCAGAGTCAGAGTTCGGCTTCTGTGAGGATTGGGTGGTCGACTTGTGGACCTTTTTCAGGTCCAAACCAGGGATCAGGTGCTGCGTGTTCGATCGTCAGGCTATCCACTAAACCACAGACAACTAAGTCAACTCATCCATAGAATCCTGGAACCTGAGTAAGTGACCTGTACTTTAGATCAACACCAACCATCCTCATCTGTGGCAACATGGAGCTATAAAGACATGTGACATGATCTAATCAATGGAAACCAACATCAACATCAGACATTCCGTGTAGAGCTTGATTCGGAACCTTACTTGTTCAAGTTCAACAACGGTCTTCATCACAACCTTGGTTGATCCAGCTTGATCCACTTCAGAAGCCAACAGTTGGGGACCGTTTCTTCCTGCGAGTCAAGAGATAGCTCTAGATCTATCGACGACCTGTGAGCAAGCGACTTGGCTATGTAAAGCTACTCAAAGAAAGCTAGAAACCAAGATCAACACCAGACATCTTGTGTTGAGCTTGGTTAGGACCCCTTCTTCCATCGAGTCGACCATGGCCGCATAAACAACATTGACACATAGAAATACATAGTCTAACCATGGGAAACCAAGCTCAACGCCAGGTGTCCCGTGCTGAAGTTGGTTGAAGACTTTTCCTGAGCCAGTTGAGACACTGCCTCTATCAGAACCTCAGTAGAAAACAAACGCGTAAACAACAATAATGAGTTATGAAAACATAATCTAACACATAGAAGCCACACTCCACAACAAGAATCCCATGTTGAGGTTGATTGGCGATCTTTCTTAGTTCAGACAACAACCTAGTAGTAGCAGTGGACCCACTTGACCCGGTTGACCCCAGTTGATCCAGATCACCCAGTTGATCCAGTTGACCCAGTTGACCCCAGTTGACCCAATGGACCCACTTGACCCAGTTGACACGTAGTAGTAGTAGTAGTAGCAGTAGTAGTCGTGGTGGTCGAATTGACCAGGAGGGCACGCTAAATCTGCGGACCCAGTTGACCCCAATTGACCCAGTTGACGCGTAGTAGTAGTAGTAGTAGTAGTAGTAGTAGTAGCAGGAGTAGTAGTAGTAGTAGCAGTAGTAGTAGCAGTAGTAGTAGTGGTAGTGTTCGCAGTGGTCGACTTGACCAGGCGGCCACGCTAGATCTCTGGACAACTGGGTCAACTGTGACACCCTGTTCAACTGGGTCAACTGGGACCACAGATTTAGCGGCCCCCTGTGCCGACGCACTCGATAAAGAGATATAAAGAGGCTTCTTGACCCCAAAATGACTTCCACCGCCCCCCCCAAACACCTCCCAGTCACCTCGACTCTGGTGCTTCCCGCACCGCCGATTTTGCCCATCGCCGGTTACAACGCTGATTCGAACGCGAAGAGGTGGCGATCAGCGAAAAGTGTGGGGGCATGATGCAGCAGGTGGGGGATGTGTTGAGGAGGATTGAGATGGGGACCTGGGGCTGTTAGGGCCCTGCCCAACCTTCTCCTCTAGGAGACCTGGCAGGGAGGATGCTGGTACATGAGTGTCTACATGCGGATCGACCCCTGAAATCAATCAATCAACCTCCCACCGACACGGAGAGGTTCCCACAAAATATCCGGTGTGTGGGTGACCAGGTCCACTCGGATCTTGGAAGTGCCTAGCACTTCCTGTCTTTTTGGGTGCCCTTTTTGGTGGAGACCTAAGAGAGTAAGGTAGCTTGGAAGCAGCCAGCTGACCCATGTGGTGTTCTTTTGCACCCACCCTCTTGCGCGCCCCACCCGCCCTCAAGCGCCCCCATGTCGTACTGCGACTGCGATACGGAGTACTGCCTCGCCTCGCCTCCGAACGGAGTTTTGGGAGACACTTTTGACAGTTCGAGAGTTCTTGGCGAAGCAGAGGGAAGAGCTCTTGATGTGATGTGGATGCAAGGTAAACTGATGGGGTGCTAAAAAAACAGAACTGGCAGTGTATATTGTGATTCTGGTGCATGTGTGTTTTTTCTCTTACTTGAGCTGCCGCTGTGGACATCACAATTGCAGATTATTACCTAAATGCATCATAAACAATCGACACGGCATGTTTCCCCTTGAATCATGACTGAACCTGGCCATGCCCAGACACCCCATGGGACTGCCGCCATTGACCCCCAAAACCACCCCAACTGATCGGCCTATATGGCAGTCCCATGGGTCGTGTCTGGGAGGTGTTTTTTGTTACTGAGTTGAATGCGTGACAAATAGTGACATTGACCGGGTACCCCAGTTTCGGGCGTGTCTAATACTAGCGGCACTAGCTGCAAGAAACCAGGTGAAGGAGGTGTCCATGAACCCCAAATTGGGGCCCCTGGTTTGGGAAGCATCCACTATGGGAGGGAGCTTTGCACTATGGAACCTGCAAAAACCGTGGAGTTGGTCTTCGGAACAGACTCTCTACCAGTCTCCAGCATCTGGTCCGGGGGTACTCCCAGCACCGACCCAGCCAGTCTGCGAGGTGTTGGACTCGATGGTTCCTCAAGTGGCCGGGGACGCCCAGGTCGCAGGATCAGTTGATTTAGCAAGTCCCAGACACTCCATGTATGGCATATTTACATACCAGCACCGACTTCATAGGTCACCAATTGAAACCTGCAACAGGGCCTTGGCGGACTTTCCCAAGCCTCCATTTCGGAGACCTGGGTTCGGTGCTGGACTGGGTCGGAAGATGAAAAAGCCCGGCAACACACAAGTCTGCGTCTGTCAGAATGAACGTGTCAACAGACTCATGGAGTGGCCGCTTGGCCGAAGCAGGTCGCCGTGGCCGCTGAAGGCCGTGACCGCTATAAGCAGTTTCTCAATTTGCAAAGGCCAGATGGGTTCACGTCCACCGAACATCGGTTTTCTTTGTTTTTTATTGTGTTTTTGTTTTCCGTTTTGCTAGTCTCATGTCGTGTTGTGGCGGCAAGTTGGGGGCCATGCTTGGGTAAATTGGAGCCATGAACGATATGCATAGCTGCTAACCCTAGGGCTCCTGGCCCACCTCCTGAGAAGATGGGCCAGGGGTGGGTGCCAGGGGGGTCCAACCACCTTCTGAGCAGATGGTTGGAGCCCAAACGGGATAATCGGATAACTCTCTATTCAAGAAGCCCATCGGCTCCGCCCATCGTTCGGAGCACTGTCAACCCGTGATAGTCGGGTCTGTCCCTGTAAAGCAGCAAAAGTCGGTAAACGATTAATCAATGATTACTATATGATGACTATAATATGATATCATATTGTTCAACTAGGTCTGCAACTGAACCATTATCATCATCCAGTATCTGGTACTTTGACACACCCAATCCATTTTCTATATGTTTCATCGATTCTGTCGAGTCTACCAGGTGCTTCTGGCCGGCCCGGTGAGTTCGGTGCTTCTGTTCATCCGTCTTCACCAGGTCATTCCCGTTTGGGCTCCGAACGTCCCATCTCATCAGAGCTCAGGTGTGGGGACTGACGCCCCAACTCCACCCCAACGATCTTCTCAGGTGGGACAGGAGCCCTAGGACCTAGGATTGGTACTTCGATTTCGCTCGGCCTCCGGCCACAGGTTTTGAAACGCCGGGCGCTCCTCGATTTCGGGTCGAAAACACAGAGCCCTTCCCACCCACAGCCACCCTTCACCAGTTTCCACCTGAGGTGGAAGGCCTACTGGACCGCCTGGCGCAGAGTTTAGACTTCAGCGAGTTAAGGGATCAGCTGGGAAGCCTAGCAATAGAAGGGGGCAAGGAGGGTGGGGGCAGTGAGAAGGATGAGGTTTGCCAAACAGTGGGGACATTTGCAGGATATCTCATTATCCCTCTCTTAATATATATATATATAATATACCAGGTGCTTCCTGGTGACAACAGGTGCCCAGAAACCACCTGTTAGGGTCTCCAAACAACCTGTTGGAAGGTGCTGGTATATATCAATAATATATAATGACTCAATAATGACTCGGTGAAAATCCAATGCTCCATGAGTTGATATGGCAGTAGTATGAGCTTTAGCGAGTGTATGCCAACAACACAGCTCTGGAACATGCAGTTCTGAAGTTCTTTGTGTTATTGTTGGGTTTCCTGTAAAGCTCCCAAGGAGTTTCCTGTAAAGCTTCTTCAAGCCAAGCTGATCGACTGGATGAGCCTCGATGCTTGCGCTTCAAGCTGAGGCTCATTGACGCCTTCAGTGCGTCAACTGAACTGATTCCATTGGTGGAAGAGAGATCTGAGGCTGATCTGACGTGATTTCAGCATCCAGTTTACCCTATGACTCACACAGACGGCTTTTTGACACGACACGAGGTTTTGAAGTCCGAAAACAAGGGTTTGGAACCGATCTATTTGCACTGCAGTGATTCAGCAAGTCTCGTCCGGTCACCCGAACAGTCTTTGTTTTTAAACAGTTTTCTACCATCAATCCACGTACAGTCCCTTAAGATTAGTCTACTAATTACTCGCCCCTTCAATCTCGCGACAGCAAGCTGTGTGGACCAGGTCTTATGCGAGACCAAATGCCTGTTCAATGGCTTTTCTTCTCTTTTTTTGGCACCGCGGACCGGAACAAAACGATCGCCAGGCGATTCTATCCTTCGTCCAAGAGGATCGTGGGGCGGAGTGTCCCAGTTCATGGCAGCGATCGATGTCATGCCACGGCTTGAAATGCCGACTTGATATAAGAATGATCGTCTGTGTCTTTGATGGATTTGTATATATATATTACATATATATATATATTTATATATATATATATCACACGCATGTCTATTATATATATATTGCTGGTGGAAAAGGATCTTTAAACGGTCTGTTCAAAGATCCTACATTGCCAGTCTGTTGCATGTGCCAAAAGACACGAGCTTCACGGCATGAGATCTTTGCTTTTTGTTGGCAAGAAGCGACTAGAAACTCCAGTCCGTTGCGCAATCAACAGCCAGCTGTTTTAGGGCACGGCACCGAGGTCCGGAACCGCATGTTTCAGGACTTCACACGGATTGCCTGGCGGCCTGGAGCGAGTTGGAGCGAGAGGTTCGTTCTAAGATTCAGACACTCCATGTAATAGATAGAACATGTACCAGTCAATTGATCGGGTCAACCACCCCTTTCTGTCTCTAAAAATGCCAGTCCCAGACAGGTCGTGTTTGGGAGGCATCTCTCCCGCGATGTGTTCGAAAGTTCAAAGCACTGAGGCTGCCTCGATAGAAACATTGGTCGGCTGCTCAGAGGATGTGTCAGATATGGAGAATTGATTGGAAGAACATGATGAAGATCATTGAAGATCTGCCATGATCTCCTTTTTTTACCTCCAGTATACATACGTGTTTGTGTCTTGGCCATGTAGAAAGAAACACCACTGCGGCACACCTTTGCCAGTCGATCTTAGATGTTCAATGATCCGGGTCAAACCATCCATGGGAATAGAATATCTACCCTAGGGATCCAGTCGTACCGAACCGACCCGGTTCGGTACGACGACTGGACCCTTCAAACCTAGTGACGAACACGGAAAACCGTACCTGAGGTTCGGTACGACTGGATCCCTATAGGGCTACATTGACCCCTAAAAGACATCAACCAGGTCTGCACCCGATCGATCTCTCCGCCTCCTAGCGATGCCCCATGATATCATGACGTAGTAAGGGCCGCGTCCTCTTGCTCCGGTCGTAGTAAGGGCCTATGTAGTAAGGCCCCTCGCAAGACATCTGAACAAATCACCCCAACTGATCGGCATTGATGGTTCCACAGCATGACATTCGATGCTTGGGCCTTGGGCTTGGCAACTGTCCGTGCGTGTGCGTGGTCGCTTGGCCTGTCCCTGGCCGCAGGCTGCAAACTCCAATTGGCAGATACCCTTCCTTGAGAGGTGCGGCTTCTTCTTGGTAACATCATATCATAATATATGATACATATTGAGACACTATTATATGAATACTGTGAATTGTGCATGGAGTTTGTTGAAGCAAACACGCCTGAAGAGCGCCTTCTCCATCTAACAAGTCTATCCCATCCAATACGCTGCCAGGCTGGAAGAGCTGCAACGAAGTTTGGAGATGAAGAGGCCAGGTGGAGAATGCCAGCGCAGTGGCGGAGCACACAGAAGCATCTGGACTGAACATGACCTGCACATCACCCGTAGTCCACTTCGTATCCACGACCGACTAGAGTGGAATTCGGGGCATGCCTGGTGTATCTTCCCCAGGGCGGCCCACCTCAGAAGATCATTGGGGTGGAGTGGGGGCGTCGGTCCCCACCGAACCTGAGCTTTGATGAGACGGGCCAGGAGCCCAAACGGGTTATGGCAATTCGATTGCATTCCAGTGCTAAGTCGTTTCGCCCGTCGTTTCGCCAGTCGTTGGTCTTCACTTCTCAGCATCTGAGTCGACCTGTCCACCTTGGTCCAGTAGACAGCATCACCTCACTAAAACTACAAGGAGTCAAAAAGGCAAAGACAACCAGAGTGGATCTGGCGGAGAAAAGCTGCACATGGCCCTGCACTCCATGCAAAGGCCAAAAAAGCAACAAAAGACTCCTGTCCTGTAAGTCATCCAGATGCGTGGTCCCTTGGGGACAATACTCCACAGACACGTGGGTCGGACTGGCGACGAAATTCACTCATGTCATTCACCCCAGTGAATGGTTGCGTCGACCAGAGATGTTTCACTTTCTGCTTGTACCAGGACTGCCAGGGGGTGTCTGATAGCCCCTAGCGACCTGAGGTGATGGGTGTCCAGGGTGTCCATTCACCACCCCGACCGTGGGTCATGACCAGCGACTTCCCCAGAACGACTGGGGCGGCGCTTTGGGCTCAGCGGAGTTGTTCCGTCCGTCCGCTCGGGCAGGTCGGAGTCTTTCCGTCCGGCCATGCTGGCGAGTTCGGGGGGGGGGGCCGCCGGACGAGGAGAGGGCGGGTCTTCCTGGCGGCAGGAAGAGGGCCAGGTGACCGTGCAATGAGGAGAGGAGAGGGGACATATACCTGGAGTCGACCTGGAAAGTTACCTCAGAAAATGGGTATAGTCTTGAAGAACCAGTTATTTTTGGGGGCTGCCGTGTCCCATTATCCAAGGTACTTTGGAGAGTCCAGATATAGAATTGTAATGAATTGTATAAATAAGTAGTACACCGCACCTATAGGGAAGATGGTTTCTGGTTTCTGCAGAGGAACAAGAACCAAGGGCAGCTATACCGGTTTTGATCCATATATATATATATAAGATATCAAAAAAAGGCATAGTTCATTCTTTGCAACAACCATGTGGAACAGGAACAGATGCGGAAGATATCCTATATGAGCACCTTTGAGCACCTGTCAGCTTAAAGATGTGGAACTTCCGATTGAACAGGGACAGATCGAGTGGTGGGTTTCATTTCGCGTGGAATGGCCCAATCAGTTCCCCAATCAGCGGTGGAATGGCATGTTGGGACTTTCAACACCCATCTGACCTTGAGCTTCAACTGGTCAAAGTACTGGATGGACATTGGATTGGCTGGAGAGATTGGATGCAAAGTTTGCTCACGTTGTTTTTTTTTTTTTTTTTTCGCAGGTGTTTGTTCTCCTAAGACCCTTGACTTCTTCACACTTACCCACTCCATGATTTGTGTCGACCAATTGGGGTGGTGTTTGCTTGAGAAAGGGGGCTCAACGTATCGATTCCAAACACTCCACGGGACTGGCATATTTACATCCATTCGGGTGTTTTTTTTTGCAGGGTCAATGTATGTAAAAATATGCGACGTCCCAAGCAGGTCGTGTTTATTCCAATCCCTGTGGTGTTGGGAGCCACCGGAAGATCGGAGCTCAGCTGCCTTTCGCCAGGTGGAGTCCCTTCCCTGGTCGGCCATGAACGCTCGCGGAGGCCCGGTTTCACCGGGGGATCAGCTACGGAGTCTACTCTGAGACGCTGCAGGGATCCATGACAGACATGACAGATCCATGACTTCCTTAAGGAGTGAAGACGTAAGACGTTTGAAAAACCATCATGTCCAAAACCCTGACATCATCAAGCAGTGTTCAAGCACATTATAGTTTATATAAACTCATGTAATACACATAGAATAGCATCAAGCAGTGCTCATGTAATACACATAGAATAGAGGAGAACAATGTGCAGATGGATGGTCAGACCTGTGGGTCTTGTGAGCAAATGACATACTGAGCTTTGGAGGATCTGGCACGTCCAAAGGGTGAATTGAGACTACCCGACTTTCCTGTAGTGTACAAGCCGGCCATCCGTTTCTGGGTAGCTCGTTGAACGCTACCCTGCGCTTGTTACATCCGGAATCTCGACATCCGTGAAAGATGGTGAAGGGATGCAACCACCATGGAGATGTAATGAAATGCATCATGGTTATGTGGTGTGAGTGAGTGTGTTCACCACTTAGGAGCCGACCGGGAGCCGACCGGGGGGGGGCCATGGCCACGGCCAGGCCCATAAGTCTTCCCAGGGATTTGTATCAAGGGAAGAACGAAAACATGATTCTGGATCATCAAGCGATCTGGAAGAATCATGGGAGGTATTTTTTAGGGATTTGGTTGACGAGGACTGCCCCGTGATTTGTAGACGATTTGGCATTTGGCGATCCACTCGAAAACCAGACCCTGAAGAGGACCTGAAGGAGGTAGCTACATGCAGCGCCTCCGAGCTGATCCGGCGAGCACTCACCCACCGAGCTGATCGCTGCGGCGCTCGAGGTGCTGAGGAGCAGCAAAGCCTTCGAAGACCGCCCGTGTCCCTTGGAAGATCGATCGAGTTGGGCCAACAAGCGCACTCCGAACAGGGAGATCGATCGAGTTCTCCACTCCGAACTCAACTCTGAGTTCATGAACGGCCGCGCTCCGAATCGGAGTCACCCCCACCAACCTGGGTTCGCGGGCTCGACCCTTCGAACCCGCTGGCGAGTCCGACCCTTCGACCCTTCGAACCCGCTGGCGAGTCCGACCGAAGCGGCGGGAGCTCGGCCGACCGTGGGGCGTTTTGAACAAACGGAGCGGAGGGATCAGTCCTGGAGGGTTTGCGGAATGGATGGTTCTTTTTCCATCCACCCCTTCATCGAGAAATAGGGTTCTTAGTCCTGAAATAGGGTTCTTAGTCCACCCCTTTGGATGGTTCTTAGTCCTGAAATAGGGTTTGCTTCTTGAAGCCGGAGACCCTATATCAGGTCTTCATCATCCACCCCTTCATCGAGAAAGAGCTCCACACTGACCCAGCCACGCTCCGTCTTCACATACTGCCTAACTTGGCTGGTTTTATTGATGAACAGAACAGACAAAAAATTTGGCATATAGTTGAAAGCTCAAGGTATACATATATACCATAGGGCTCCTGGCCCATCTCCTCAGGTTCGGTGGTTAGACCCCCTTGGCCCCGAACCCAACGATCCTCTCAGGAGGGCCAGGAGGTCTAGGGATATGATATCAAGGTTGACCTCAAGCGCCAAGGATGTGTCCAAGTCGAGATCCGGTCTTTGTGGTGTAGCAACTGAGCAACTTGCGACATGAGCGTCTTAGGTCAAAATTGATGCGTATCCATCTTACATGCAGAGACTACAATGATCAGTACTAGTGACCAGTGGATTGAGAGCGGATGGCAGAATCCCCCAAAAGGAGGTGCAGAAAAAAGACCCCCATCCAAAAGATATCTTGGAGTGCCAGTGCCATCTACTTTGCAACCCCTAATCAAGTCATTCTAGTAGGATCATGTCCTTTGAACCTGAAAGGTTTTCGGATACTGGCTCCTGTAGGCTTGCCCAACATGGCTCCCAGATCCGTCAAATGTGGCATTGCCATGGAAAGGCACAAAGCTCTCCTGATCATGTTCAGTGGTTTGCACATATCTGAAGAGTAAGACACTCCCAACTGCCAACTCCACTTAAAAACAAGACTAAACTCAGAGGCAAACTCATCTTGCAGTTCTTGTCTACAGTTCTACATTCTACAGATGTCACTCGAAATCCCCCCAGATCTCAAAGTCTCCATTCTTGCGGTAAGTCCACGCGACTGAGGGGTCCAGCGAAAGACAAGAGCAGACCTGAGAGGACCGCGAGTACCGAGGCCCTGTGGTTTTTGTCAAATCGGAACGTCAAAAGAAGAAAGCTACTAGGAGCAAGAAGCTAGTAGGGGCTCCTGGCCTTACTACTAGGAGTAATCGGACGCTACTGTGGTTTTGGAACGTCAAATGAAAAAGGCACACCCAGACGCGACAATTGGGGCTGGCGATGACTGGCGCATTTGCCGATCAGTTGGAGTGGTTGAAGTCGGGGTCACCCTATTATAGCTGGACCCGACTTCAAGTACCTTCGAAAATGGGGCATGACCCGAACAACAAATACTCAACTCCAGGTAAGTTCCAATATACATGCAGTGTCTTGGACATGGCTTGAAAGATTTGGACTGATTAGGACGTGAGCGGACACACCGTAAACATCAACAACAAAACAGTGATGTGATGTGAGGTGGTAATATGAATGGAGAACAAGGTCGTGCATCTTTTTCATGCGTTGGAAGCAGTGTTTCTGGATAAAAACAGGCGACGAAGAATCGCGCCTGTGACCGATTGTGAGCCTCTGACACAGGTGGTCAGAATGGCAGGACCATATTTCTACTGTATCATACTGTATCCTCAATAAGGTGCCGTGCTTCCCCAAGCCATGATCCTTGGGCCAGTGCCCAGTTATTCGCCCATGAAACACTTCTCGCGGCCATGTTGCTGTTCTGTATCAGGCAGCAATACGGTGGACCCTTTGGGTGTTTGGATTTCTTCCATTAACAAGAAGCTACTAGTAGCAAGAAGCTAGTAGTATTTCCTGGCATCGCTACTTGTTTTCCAAGGGCATCGCTACTAGTAATCACTTGGTTCCCAGTTAGAGGAGCTTCTCATGAAACATGTGCCTACCACACCAAAAAGAACCTCCCTGTCCGGTCTCCAACATAGAAGGTTGGGCCGGGCCCCACAAAGGGTCGAAGCTGACCTGTCACCTGTTTTCAGTCAGATGCTGGTGCACATTTTGTATTTAGCACGGATCAATGGTGCTTTTGGGTTTGCCAGAGTAGACCCTGGTGTCCCAGACAATTCCGGAATTGTTCCCTACATTAGGGTCATAAACCAGCACTCTCCAACAGGTCACCTGCGACCTTTTAAGTCTTGGCACCCGCCAGGGCCTACTTGGCTTTCAAGCGGCTCTGCAACGGACAGACCGACGGCGGCCAGAGACGGTCCGAAGCCCTGAGGTCCCGCACGAGGTCCCGCGGATCATCGATGGAACTTCGGACAATGCTTCGGCGATCCTATAGGTACCCCAGGTGATGGGTCCTAGTTCAGGTCACTGGATACCTCTGTTGGTACTCCAAACCCCTTATCCCCTTTGTTTTGACATGTTCGGGGAGTTGGACACCTCCCATGATGGTTGATGGGTATGACAAGTCGATGAGTCGATGGGGTCGCATCGAACGGACATGTTTCGTGCCAAGGCCGAGAGGACCCGCAGACCGACCTCGGGTGTGTCGGGGACCGAGCAAAGGGGGCAGCTTGGAAGTGAATAGTTTATATTATGTGAAGTGAACAAAGCATGAATATATTTTATATATAATATGCAATTATATATATAATATCTATATAGTTGAAATTATTTGTATATATATATTGGTATTTATCATATACTTACAGCATATGTTTGCACGTTCTTGTTGGTTTCGGGCACCATGTGGAGGGTTTTGACTGGAGCTGCTGGGAGCTGGAGAGTTCAGGAGAATGTTTGGAGAACTTATCAATGTTTTCCAGACTTTGTGAGGATATGTGTTGCATGTGGGTTTGTGATGATCGAAGGATACAATTTGGGGTACTCTAAAGGGTCGTTGCCTGGGTAGGTCCGACGTCTTTAGGTGCCATGTGTTTGGATGGCATCCATTTGAAGCGCATCACTTGGGTCGGCGGTTTTCCGTGCGCCCCCGTAACGCGGAACCCCTGCTACTGAGGCGGAACACTGGCGAGCCCATTTGGTGCGCGCGGGGGTTGGATGGGAAGATGTGAATGTGAAGACCGTCGAAGACGTTTCTATCTCATTGCGGGTCTCGCTAGTAGGTTGGAAGCCATCGCTATTGGGTTGGAGCTATTTGCGGGTCTTAACAAACAGGTTTCTTGTGTTTGTGTCAATGAAAGATTAAGCCGTGCTGACCCTTTTTCCGTCTCTACTTCTACCCATTCTGATTGGCGACATTGATGCTCTTCAAGCATTTTTGTGGGGGGTCGACCTGTGGCTGAGGAGATAACTCTCCTGACTTCATGGAGTCATCAGATTCATGCCATGACAGTCAGGTTCGATTGATCAACCTCACTCACTTGATTCATTTGGATGTCATCTATTGAATTAGGTCGACCTCTTTCTTCAGGGTATGCTGGGGGCCAGCATACCTTGAGAGACTAGGACTCCATGGCACCGGTGATAAGTCACTCAGTTTCATGGTGCAATACAGGGGGACGAACAACATGGACCATACACTCTGACGAACACATCACATGGGGCGATGGAGTGAAATTCACCCTTCGTGAGTCGTTTGAGGGCCTTCGTCTTCAGTCGGGGCCATGTGTTTGGTTCGATGTGTTCATCAGAGTGTAACTAAGTGCAACTACTTCAGATTCCCGCGGCTCGTGAGCATGGTCGCATGTGGACCAACAGGGGGGGAGCTGCATGCATGTCTTTCGCTTCACTTTCGGTTCACATGACATGATCAGTCAAAGTTGCTGGCGACCGGGCTCGGTCGCTCAACCGGTGACAACCAAACGTTTCGCTCCTCGACCGCGATGTCCCGCCTGGCGCCGCCAGGTACAGCTCAGCACGTGCGTCGCCGCCGACGGCGGCGGCGCCGTCTGCGCCGACGCCTCCGAGCTCGGAAGGTTGAAGCGGCTGAGGGGCTGAAGTGCTCGGTCGAAGCAACAACTGAAAAGCCCAGTTTGGGCCACAAAACTGGGCACAGGGGCTGAAGAGCTACTATCATCTACTATCCATATGTGACGTGTATATATTTGATATAATTAATATATTGTTATTATAGATGTACATGTATCTCAAGCAAGCATTTGTTGCCACTGGTGATGTTTGATGTGTTCACGTGACCCTCCCGGAAAGAAGGAGGAACTGAACTTCGTGCGTGGTTTTTGCAGGGCAGGTCTCGTCCTGCAGCATCCCCCACAAGGTTCTCATCAAGCCAGGTCTCGTTCCGACCGCTGGCAGTGGTGCCAGCCGCACGCCACGGATACCGTGGGGCTCCGCAGCGGGCAGGGATGGGCTATTCGGTGGCGAGGGTGTTCTCCAGATTGCCTGGAGAAGAAGCCCGGATTGCATGCAGGTGGTTCAAGAAAATCATGTACCATGAGTCACAGAGCTCGGGGTGGTGTGGACACTCCCTACTGAGTAGATGTGATGTTCTGGGCAACCGGCACCCTCGGAGAGCACCCAACTCCATGGAACGGCTCCTGGCTGGGCTACCCCATATAGGGATCTCGCTGAAGGCGCAGGATGTGCTAGTTAGTTTCATAGAACGCTGTTTGCTGTGAAGGACCTTGGAGAAGTTCGGATCTCTTCAGATGGATATGATCCCTAGGGCTCCAACCATATCCTCAGAAGGTGGTTAGACCCCCAAAACCCACTCCAACCACCTTCTCAGGAGGTGAGCCAGGAGCCCTAGGGGATACGATGGAGATTTTCCTCTTTACAGGGTGACTGGCGACTCCGTAGGTGGGCATCCACTCCGACCGTCCAGACGGACACTGAAAGCAAAGCTTCAGGACCCTACCGAGGTAAGCTTCTCCAGTGATGCAGCTGAGGCGTTCATATCCCTAGGGCTCCAAGTGCCTATATACCTAAACCCACCCCAAAGACCTTCTAAGAGAAGGCGCGACTGGAGGTGTATATATATATATACATAAGGAACCAGGGATTCTAGGTCCTAGGTCTATGGTGTTAGTCTTTGGAACCAGTGGTTATACCAGCTATAGTGGTTTGTCTGGATGCCCTGCCCTGGGTAGATGTTTTATCCTTTGGATGAACCCCCATTTCGATGAGCACCGTGGTCTTCGATGTTCACTGAGAGGAGGGCGAGATCAAAGGCTGCATAAGTCCGGACTGAGACGAACAGAGCTGAACTGAAACTGAAGAGTCCGGACATTGGAAAGTACACCTTGGGATCCAGGAAAGTACCGAACCTCAGGTGATTGGAGGCTATTTACATAGGAGTCCATGCTTTTTCAACCCTCTTGGGAAACTGAAACTGAGACTGAAACTAAAGGTCCAAATTCTCACGAGTTTCCCAAGAGGCTTTGAGCCTAATTAAATGCACAGTTGTCATGTCGGCATCGGCCATAGTGTCATGATGGACAAGAAGTCCTACACATCGTACGTTACAATACAAAAGGGATTTGTGGGATGACCGCTCTAGCTCAGGTTTTCTTTTGATGTCTTGCTTCAACGGTAGCTAACCATCCCTCTCTCTCTCTCTCTGGTTTCAGGAACATGTGACAAAGCCACAGTTTTGTGGGTGAACACGACGTTTTTTTCGAGATGTGTCCTTAAACATCTTAAACCAAGGCATTGACTCACTCGGGTTCCAGACTTTCCTCCAAAGTACCTCTTCAATCCGCTACCATTTCTTCAGGGCGCCTGCCGCCGCTTCCACGCCGCCTTCCTCGACGGCGGAGAGCGACAGTCTGGGCGGTACAGATGGGGCGGACCTCCTCGATTCGGTGGGCCAGGGGTGGGTGCGTGAAAGGGGGTCTGTCTCTACCTTCTTTTAGGTGTGGGCCATCGGTACTAGCTTGGAGGCCATCGGTATTAGCTTGGAGGCCATCGGTATTAGGTTGGAGGCCATCGCTATTAGGTTGGAGGCCATCACTATTAGGTTGGAGGCCATCACTATTAGGTTGGAGGCCATCACTATTAGGTTGGAGGCCATCACTATTAGGGTGGAGGCCATCACTATTAGGTTGGAGGCCATCACTATTAGGTTGGAGGCCACCACTATTAGGTTGGAGGCCATCACTATTAGGTTGGAGGCCATCACTATTAGGTTGGAGGCCATCGCTATTAGGTTGGAGGCCATCACTATTAGGTTGGAGGCCATCGCTATTGGGTTGGATGCCTTTGCAATTAGGTTGGAGGCCATCTGTTGGAGGCCATCACTATTAGGTTGGAGGCCATCGCTATTAGGTTGGAGGCCACAACTATTAGGTTGGAGGCCATCACTATTAGGTTGGAGGCCTTTGCAATTTAGGTTGGAGGCCATCGGTATTAGGTTGGAGGCCATCACTATTAGGTTGGAGGCCATCACTATTAGGTTGGAGGCCATCGCTATTAGGTTGGAGGCCATCGGTACTAGGTTGGAGGCCATCGGTATTAGGTTGGAGGCCATCGCTATTAGGTTGGAGGCCATCGCTATTAGGTTGGAGGCCATCACTATTAGGTTGGAGGCCATCGCTATTAGGTTGGAGGCCATCGCTATTAGGTTGGAGGCCATCGGTATTAGGTTGGAGGCAATCGCTATTAGGTTGGAGGCCATCGGTATTAGGTTGGAGGCCATCGGTATTAGCTGCCATCACTATTAGGTTGGAGGCCATCACTATTAGGTTGGAGGCCATCGCTATTAGGTTGGAGGCCATCGCTATTAGGTTGGAGGCCATCACTATTAGGTTGGAGGCCTTTGCAAGTAGGTTGATGGATAGAGCTTGATCCTTGAAACAGCCTTTTGCGGCCACACATTTCGGCCGGTCATGGACCGTATCCCAAGGCCCCATGAGTCGGGCAAGTCCCGCGCCGGCCGCAACGCCAGCGCCCGCACCAGCCATGAATGGAAGGCGGGACCGACGGGTGAAATGCGGGACGGTCGGTGGCTTCGATGCCCCGTTTTTGGACCAGGATTCTCCTATAATGATCATATATACCAGGACCCCCAAGCGGTGGTTAATGGACACCCCGAATCACAGCTAAGGGGCTAAAAATCAACACCCCGACAGGAGGGTCCTGGTATATGATCATATACCTAGCACTTCCAGGCCGGGTGCCCTGTCTGGAGACCTGTTGACGTAGGGTGGGGTAGTGTAGCCAGGACACCCATTGGAGGGTCCTGGTATAAGCCTTCTGTTTTGTATCCAAAAAGATGTTGTTTTTTCTTGTTCAACCTGGAGACCTGGTGGACCAAGATGTGCTGTCCAAGCGTCAAACAGCTCGGGAAATAGCTCAACGATGGGCCAGAAAGCCTAGCACATCCTCTCTGGGTGTCCAGCCAGGAGATCCCGGGTTACAGTATGGGGTAGTCCAGCCAGAAGACCTAGGCAAGATGCAGGTGTGCTTGGATCAGATGATGATGCTAGCTGGTAGTTGATTTTTCCAGTTGACCTGATGATCCCGCATCATGTGGCACCCCCACGTTGTGAGTTCACACGCGACGAACAAAAAACACCACCGAACGGCGATCTGTCAGACCGGACAGCGCGACGATGCGGCACAATGAGTGGCCGCCTGGAGCCTCGGAAATGGATGGACTGCCGATGTGAGGAGCAGAAGGAGGTGGTGGCTGGAACAACCCTCAGTGCAAAAACCATGGAACAGTTTGACAGTCAAATGCCAATCCAGCATCAAGACCAATCCAGAGAGCAGTGCGCAGATGGTGACATGCATGGTTGGAAAGACCTTTCAAGCCTTTGTTGCATGGAATAGCCAAAATACACTGCTGAGAACTTTGATGTTTGCTGCCATTTGCAGCTGCGCGAGGTGGCAGCCAAAGCCGCCGGCACATGAAGAGGCGATTGATTTGGCGGGTTCTGCTGGGGAAGTATCATGAAATATCCTTTTCATTAGACCTCTAGAATCCTCTAGACCTTTCCATGTCTAAATGTTGTCTCTTACTGTTCTCATGGCTATACTTGAAATATCATTCCCTAAGGATCCAGTCGTACCTTTTGAGGTTCGATAACCTCCTGGATTGCTAGGGATTCTTTTGACCAGCTCCGTTTGCACTCAAAATCTGGCCTCACAGGACTTCCAGTCACCTGGACTTTCGAAGCCTGACTGTCACTCCCAACAGTCTCATGACCTGACCGCAGCGTACGATCAGCTTCTTTGATCTTAGGGCGCCAGCGTCCCTTCGGCGCCCCGAAAAGCACGTCGGCCGCTTCACTCCGTAGGGGCCTCCAGACGTGCAGTCTGAGCGTCGACCGGGTGCGTTTTCCTGGTGCGTTTTGAAGCTGGTTCAAACCACGAGATGTTCTTAGTGTTCATCATGTTTCTCATTCTAGCACATGAGTGTGCTTTTGCACGAACGCATATACAGTAATTATATCGCCGTATTTAGCTGTGCTTGGCACCCCGGCAGACCTTTCGAAGCTCAGCTCGCCACTGACCAAGCGATGCACTGCCACCAGAGCTTCATCTCGATTCCGACTATGCCGCAGGGCGCGTCCCCTGCGCGGGTCCAGTCCGATCCGATCATCAAAACCTGAACACCGGGTCAGACCTCGATGTCTTTTTCGTACCCGGTTTTCGAGCGGGTTCCACGGTGCCTTGGGGGGGCCAGGTTCCGGAAGAGGTCATCAGTCCAGTGATGCCTGTGATGCCGGTGCCCAGCCCTTCGAGGCGAAGATGGAGCGAAGGGCTAGTGGCAAGGTGTTTTTGGATCGTTTTTGTTGCCTGGTCTTGATTAGGTTTTAGTTTTCCGGTGCAATCCTCTTCTGGCCAGCAAATCCCAATTTGGGAAGATGTGAAGTCAGTTTCAGAGCACTCCCAACATCTCCATACTTCCCCCTAGTTTCGATTGGCGCCGAAGGCGTGTCTTTTGGGTTCGGCCTAAAGCTCCGGTGAAGATGAACGCCTAGCGTAGAACAGCGTGCGCTTTGATCTGAATGATTCAGTTGAACTATTTCCCAGACACTCCATGTATGACATATAACCACCGACCAAATGATCTTCAATGTATAATGTATAGTTAAATATCCCAGTCCCAGACAGGTCGCCTCTGGGATTCCCAGGATCTCTTAGCTGAAGAAGTGCAACACAACCTCTCAAAAGCCACCAGACTTGTTATGCTTCTCTTGTTTTGCTCACTTGTCAAGCCTTGTCAGCATATAAAGCGACCTATACACCATGGTTCCTGGACTCCAGCCTGTGTTCCCTGTCCCCTTCTGGCCCAGATCGAAGCCTTCGGATTTTTTCTCTGCACGCCATAGCGATCCGGTGCGGAGCGTCGTGTGGGTCGCGGGGTGGGCGGGGTGTGTCGACGGGGTGTTTCGGGAAGGAGCAGTCGACGTCTGGGTGTCGGACGTGCGTTGCCCTACACTATAATTATAGATGTAGACTCTTGAGGACCAGACACCCCCACATTTTATTTTTCACATCCTCTTCAAAGGGGGGTGTATTCATCAAGAGTCTACACTACTTAGGGCGGGATCTCCATTTGATGGGCCCCTTCCAGGGTGCACTCGTGAGAACCGAAGGGTGATCCAGGTCGGGGTTTCGCCATGGTGGATGGAACTCCATGCCTAGCCGATCAGAGACCTTCCCCCCCCCAGACCAGCTGAAAGATCTGAAAGTGATTTGTTCGACCAACATGGCGGGACGTGGTCTAGACCAAGGAGTGGGTCTCGAGACCGAACCAGGTCTTGGTGGACTGGTCCTGAACGGCTCATCGAGCGGTCGAGTGACCACGGACCCGACCCTTCCACTCACCGGGCTGGAAGTCGAAAATGGGTCGTTTGGCACTTCCTGCTTGGGACGGCCATGGATGGACTGCCGATTCATTGACCCCCCTTTTTCTCCACCACCCCTGGCCGTTTTGAAGGCAGTCCGGACTGGCAGTCCCATGTGTTGTGTTTGGGTTTGGATCTAACCACACGGGTCCAGGTGGTTGCAATCTTCACACCAAGTGCGACTGTTCTCCCACCATGGAAGGGTGGAAGATTTCAACGTCAGACACCCCATGGTCACATGCTGTGCATCATTGCCTTTGGGTTTCTGGGCGCAAAGATCGATGCTCTACTCGAAGCAAGACGCGTCGGAGCTGTCTCCAGTTTTCGTTTCGCAGCTGTCTTGTTGAGGCAGACACAAGATGAGTCTGAATTCATCGCTTCATTTCGCGTGTTTCCTCGAACACGGAAGCGCAACATCGTGCAACCAATCGTTCGTTTGAGCGTCACGGTGTTACGGCGCGATACGGCGAAAGTCATGACACGCATGTGACACACGGGGGTGTCCAGGACGTTTGGCGATATGTTGCGATCAATTGACATTGTGCAACAGGCTCTCAGAAGGTACCAGGAGGTCCTTGTCTGGATCTTTAGATGTTAGTGCCATCCGAATGGATGTGAATGGAGCATGTTTAAAATTAATCCTCCAAGAGGAAGCCAACTCTATGCAACTCCAGGTATGTGCAATATTCTTAAATCTCGGTGAATCCCAAGCGATTTCATGCGATATCCAAATTCAAGACATTCCCGGATCACCCTCCGCAAAGGCATCTCTTTGCTTGCTTCCTTCATCTCGACTCGACTCGAGATCTCGCGACGGCCTGGACTCAATCGTATCGCGATTCGCTTCTGTGCTCGAAGCCGAATTGGCGGCGGCCGAGTTTCGGCTTTGAACGACCAGAGCCGTGGCCGCGGGCCGCTGGGGAGTGAAAGAACGGCGGAACAGAGGTATGGGCAGGTGGACGGAAAGCAGCTGCTGTTCGTTCTATGGCTGTCGAAGTAAACACCAAGAATACCCAAGAGAAATCCCCACCTGGGCATGAATCCACCTCCTGGAGAGGCCATGGCAACATCGCAAGTTCACCAACGAGTGTTGTATATTTGCCAATGTGAGCCTTTCCAATGTGTCATGCCATCACAACACGGAACATGTGCTACGCGCAGACACATGTGACCACATGCAAGCATGACAACGCTGCAACCAGCAAGAACAATCGAATCCGCAACCAACAACGCCGCTCCGGACTGCTCTGAAGTCTTTAGCTCTGGCCAAAGACCCCGGCTGGCTTCATTGTTGCAAATAACGATCACCGAGTGCGGCTTTAGGATCTCGTCCTGTGAGTGGATCTTCGCCGCAGAAATGGGACGGGTTCCAAAAGCGAGTTGCTGTATTTGGACGCAGAAAATCAGGTTCCTACTTGGTGCTCTTCCATTTGGTGGAACAGGGTCACCCAGAAACATAGACCTGTCATGTATATGCAATATATGCCTATACACTGACCCCTAAAACCATGTAGGCAAATGGGCCACACATGGATGGTTTAGGATGGTTCGGATATAGATTCCTTTCATGGTCATGTACTGCTGAAATCCACTTGATTGAGGGGATACCACATGATCCACTCTCAAATGCGCCTGGCCCACCTCTAGATACACCAACCCGTGCGTGGAAATACGCGCTGCCCCTGCGTTTGCCCTCATCCGCTGGGAGCCGTTTGGAATCTCCGGGCTTTTCACGGGGTTTTCATGCGATTCAGATCCCCTGGGTTTCACCGTCCAAGTATGGATTCGAAGCGTCGGAGAAAAAGAAAGGAGAATGCTTTCGAGCGCCCATGGGCCCTTTCAGCGTTGTTTTGCTTCAGGGGACTTGTATTCAACAGTGTGATTTTGCTTGGGTTATGTTTGTAACGCGCAGTTCTGCGTTGCGAACTGCAATGAACAGTCCACAAACGAACAGCCCACAATGACCTGAGAGGAAGCAGGAGGAAACAATGCACACGACAGCCCCTGAGATCGGCGGTTTTGGAACTCCAGGTGTTCCAATGCATATGTTCAACATGCTCGATGTAGGGCAATGCATGCTATACATCACAACATCCACATGTCAAAAGCGTCCCCTTCAATGGAATTAAAGCATGGACCCGCATACCTTTGGATTCCAACAACCACTGTCTTATAATGGTTTTTACCAAACAAACATTGTTAGACTAAGGACTTTATACTGCAAAACAAGATCAGCCATTTTTAAGTGGTATATAGTTGCAGTTCATTTAGGATAGATCAGCTGCTTATTGTGTTTTTTTGGATCTTTGTCATGTGACCTTTTGCGTTGTAATGACATGAACAAGCATGTGTCCCTAACCCTGTCAAGATTGCACTAGAACCAAGACTTTGACACATTTTTTGCAGGTTTCGACCAAGCTCGCATGGCCAATGAATATATTCATTGCTGAAGACACGCGCCTCATTACGCCTGGAAAGAGCTATGATGTGGTTTGGATCTCACCGTATCACTAAGTCACTGTCAAGAGTTTCTTGAGATGAGCTTTGCACACCAACAGTTGCAAGAAACTTGGTCATGACATCTATGACTACTATATACTCATATATATATATATAAATTTGCAATATGTTTCAACTGTTGAAACATGGCGGATCACTGGGTGAACTCCCATCGCGGCAGTGCTCCGTGAAGAAGTCTCGCGCGGATGGCGCGCTTTGGGAGTTTTTTTTTCACGGTGAATCGAAGGCAGACCCTCAGAGGGGTTGAAGCTTTGGAGTATTCCATTGTTGCCCGTTTGGGCTCCAGTCGTACCTTCTGAGAAGGTGGGACGGGTGGGTGCCAGGAGGGTCCAAACACCTGAGGAGGTACTTGGAGCCCTAGGGTTGTTCAATGCCAAGATAAGAAGTTGTTCACTTAAGTCCGATGAGTACGCAACACTCGCCACGCCGTATACTCGACGCACGCGATTCATTTTTTCGTCCTGGCCCCCGCTGCGGACTTCATGGCATTCACCGGTGAGACGCGACGGTTTGAGATGCACCATGATACACCAGTTGCTGATGCTTCACATTGCTTCACCTTCGAAGCCACAGAGCCGCCCTCGAAACCTAGGCGGACCGTGATGTTTCTTAGGGCTCCGAACGTCCCGCATCCTCAGAAGATAGTTAGCCCCCCGTGGATTCCACCCGAACCACCTTGTGAGGATGTGGGCTAGGAGCCCTAGGTTTGATGTATATCTCTTCGAATTCACCAAATCATCCCAACATGCACACCGGAGGCTCGCCATGGACCTCGGTGGACACGACTTCCATGGATCCTGGGGCGATTCTCAAGGTCCACCGAGAAGAAAAGAGAGGTCGACCACCGAAAAGGTGTCCTGTCCGAAAGTCGAATTGCGGATCCATGTGATACACTTTGAGGTACACCTCATGTCTGAGAACACCTATGGTGATGTTTTCGGTGCTCCAGTCGTACGGATCGGACACCCAAACAGCGACGGATTCGGCGACTGGATTCCGACGGTCTCTGAGGACCGACGTCTCCTTTTGGAGGACCGAAGTCTCTCGGAGAAGTTCGGACACTTGGCTTCGAATGTTCCATGGGTATACGATAAATACATATATCCTAGGGCTCCAACCATATCCTCAGGAGGTGGTATTCGACCCCCCTGGCACCCACCCCTGGCCCATCTTCGAAACGGAGGTGGGCCAGGAGCCCGAGGGATAGACATGTAACATGAACTGGTTGAGGTGTTCTTTTCATTTGGGAAAGAACATGTTCGATCTTCTTCGGATGTGGTGGGTTCGTGTTTTGGATGTGTCTTGTTTTGGTCAGAAGGAGGCGACCGACCAAGCCTTGAAGGTCGTTGTAATCGATGGAGGTGATGCATGACTTCAGGACTTTGTAGGTAGGCTGGGGTGCACAATTTGCTCACAGGCAGGTTATGGCAGGTTGTATTTTTGACATCTACGAATCAGCTGGAGTTGAAACAACTTCGTCTCCGCTCGGCGAAGACCTTAGAATCGATTCAACGCTTGAAGTGGATTCGAGCGAGACTTGTTAAACCAGCAAAACCAGAACGCATTGGTTGGACGGGGTCAACACAAAGGATGCTGTTGCCGACACCCTTGGTCTGGTGCAAACCGCCCTTCGTCGGCTCCATGTCAGAGACGGTTGACCAGCTCCATGTCAGAAAAAGCATCGGGCTTAAAACATGTATTACATTGATAATGACCAGCTCCATGTCAGAAAAAGCATCAGGCTTAATAAATGTATTACATTGATAATACATTGAATATATCCATTGATATGTTGTCCGTTGTTTTGAGCCTTAGAGTGACTTGAAGGCATCGGCCACATTGGCTGACCTCATTGACTCATGGCTCCCCACACTTCCTGGAACGTTGAGGCTGGTCTTTATTTGCTTGTGGTTTGTTTCCTTTTTTCGCACTACTGCGCAGTTTCGTCATGCCTTCAGAAGCCGAAACTGGTGAAGAATTCCGCGTCGTTCATCGGACCGTGCAGTTCTTCTTGGACTATGCAGTGGCTCACGTCGTGAACTGGCTTAGCGGGCCGCCGCTGGTGCATGAGGAACCGCGTTTGTTGCAGGCAAGTCCAACTATGTCCAACTGCCAAGTGAGGTGAGTTCGGAAACTTCTAGTTGCACCATTTGGAGACTTCGGTGCAAACGCAAACTTGGAAACGGCCTGGTAGTTTTGAATTGAGGTGTGGCATGCTTCCTTAGGTGAGGGAGAGAATCAAGGATCAGGCAAATTAACCCTAGGGCTCCAACCACCTCTCAGAAGGTGGTTGGGGTGGGTGTGAGGGGGGTCTAACCACCTTCTGAGGAAGTGGGCCGGGAACCCTAGAGTAAGCTGTTTCGTTTCTTTTTGCCAGGTCTTCCGCAACCGTCCACTTGTGGACAGCAGCCCTCTTTTACTTTGTGCACCTCAGCTGAAGCCGAAAATGGCCCGAGCGATTGGGCCACTGCCTGGCCAGCACGAGCGCGGCTGGCCCTAAAGGCAGTGAGACAATTGTTTCGTTTTCCCGCCAGACACCCCATATATGCCATATTTAATATCATACATTGGGGTGGTTTCAGGGGTCAATGTAGGTAAATGTGCCAGTCCGGAATATGTGGTGTGCCCCGGCTTCCAAATCCATGCGACTCATCCTTTCTCCCTTTCGGCGTCCATTTTTGGCACGTCCGACGGGCAGCTCGGCGGGGGCTCCTTCGTCCGTTGACACCATCTCCTTCGTCCATGGGCACGTCCTTGAGGCAGCTAGTATGGGCACTGTGGGCTCCAGCTTTTGTCCGGCAGCCCAGGACTGGGCTGCAGCCCAGTCAGGCTGCGGCCGGACAAAGGCCCCAGCTCACGTCATCGCTTTGCAAACGGTGCAGCGAAGTGAAGTGAATGTTTGGAA